TTTGCTGGCTGTAGCAGCGCTATAGCGCTGCTATAGCGCTGCACAGCAAAAACGCATAAAAATGATTATACATATGTATTCATCTTTCCATTTGCAATATCTTCAGCAAAGCGAAGAATAACATTGATTTTGTAAAAGGGGATTTACAGAATCAACGTTATTTTAACATTAATTTACAAAATCAAAGTTTTTTTTTTATAAAGGAAATTACTTTTCTCATGCTCGCCAAAAAGTGATGAGAACCGACTGTAAAAATTTTTCAGGATTCGAAAACACTGATCATTGTTTTAATTAAAATTAGCATAGCAGGTAGTGACGTCAAGTGCAGAATATGAGTGAAACAAGGGGGAATTGTTCCTTTGATATCGAAGTGGAAGATAAGACAAACAAGGGAGGAGTTGAGAATGAAGAATTTCAGATTATTTGGCAAAAATCCAAAAGGTCAGTAGAGCGGGTACGAAAATTAGCTGAGGAATGCCAAACTGCATTAAATCGCAGAAAATAGAATGGGATATTAAAGATCCAAAAACAGAGTAAAAAAAAATAGAGAAAAGACACTGTTTTGCTTCAGGGACGCGATTTTGTTCAATCTGTTTAACGAGCAGTTTCGAGATCCCAGAATTTGTACTGCAACCAGTATTTGTTTCGACAGCCCGATTTTCACAGTTGTAAAAAATGATTTTGTTCGTTGCCTGCACATTGCAGCTCTTCCTTCCAGATTCTTCGTCGGCTGCATCCACCATAAACTTGGTTTCGCTACTCCATTTTGCAATTAGCTCCACTGTGCTTTTGCTGGCCCAAGATACTGAGGTAGAGTTCCCAAATTCCAGCTAAAAATTTCTGTTAATCGTCACTGATTATGATCGTATGAATAAACTGACCGGCCAAATTGAAACTGTAAGATTCCTAAGTGCTGAAAGGTACTACACTTCCTCAGCAGATTTCTCACAAACTCGAAAGACTGTTTAAATCTGAAGGCCATTATTTGCCCTTATTTTTCCGGCTCGCCATATCACAAAAACAACGCCAGGCAAGCTCTGGACAAAAGGCAGACAGCCAACCACGTGCGGTTTGGAAAAAACCGGCAGAAACAAAATTCTCACTCTAAGGAGAATTTTTTTCTTTGTTATGTCGTCTATAATTAATATCCAAGAGCCTCACCCATTTTCTGAGCTGCGTGCCACATTCAAAGCTCTTGGGCCTTGCAGCTCTTAGTTTCATTTATCACAATTTCGGATTATCTTCCATTCGCTGAATGATGGCACCCGTTGTTAATCTCCTGGGTGTACTGGGCAATCAATGCGTGTGTTCATAACTCATTTTCATCGTACTGAAAAACGCAGCATTCAGTTTTCGGTATGACGCAGGTGCAGTAGTGAGTGATGCTGCTGTCACAGAGCTTGGTTCCGTTAGCGAGTTGATCAAGTAATCCGTGATGGCGATAAATTCACAGAATAAACCATCAACTGTTTTGCCAGCGGGTAACTGGTATTGGCATTGGACTACCACTCGAGTTTTTTCTCTAGTATCTCGTCATCTCGTGGAGTGTGAACACAAAGGCACTTGACTTTTTCTTTTTGCGCATTAAAATTATTATTTTTAGGAGTATAGTAAAATGGAAAATTATTGTTTGGAAGGTTGCGGTTTGAACCATCAACTAATGCTTAGTTCTTTCACTTACAGGAGAGGTTGCCAGTACTCAATTATATGGATGTGTCAAACACAGAAAAAAGGAAAATAATGAATTTGCCAGCTGCACCGATAGTGAGAGGGAGAATGATGCGATAACAGCAGCTAATCAGAGTATCGAACTGATAATCGGGCTACTAAAATATTTTGATGTTTCATCAGTGAAGCTGTATTTTATCAGATTTATGACGTACCAACATCAGCTATTACAGTATCAGTGTTACGGTATAGTTCCACTTGTTTCACAATCAACAGATTCCATTTGAACGAAAATGGAGAAAGCTGTTTTTCTTACTTTGAGCTCTGGTTGCAGTTTAATAGGATTCCACAACCACAGTTCGTTTGGACCAGATGTTTTCAAAATTTGCTCGTATTTATCTGTTCCTTCACCGAAATGCTTATCGGACCTTTGCCTTCCCTCATCCAAATTTTATTTTTCACTAAAAAGCCACTAAATTGCGATACGCTCACTGACTGCACACTGCTAGCTTGCACAGATCGCCTTGATATTCTTGATATTTTCGGTATTAAGAAATACTGCATTTAGTATGTGGGTGCATCTCAATAATTTCACTAACTTGATTCCTAGACCATTTGTTCTGGGATCTTGGTATTCATGATATGAAAAATTGTAAACACTCACAAGTAACCTGAAAGCTAGCAGCAGCTACTCGATGATAAAACTGTCAGTGGTACCACTCATAATTTTTATACTTATGAAGGGATGCTATACCTGTATAACAGGGTTTTCATGTCCATTGGTATCCATATGTATTTCTGCTCTAAGACCACCGACAGCAGAGACATCAGCAAAACCTTATATCATTTTGAGAAACAGAAGAATTTATAACTACTTTTCCCAAGAAACAGTGTATGAAACGCATCAGTAAGTGGTACTCCGTTAAATAAACCTAAATCAGTTCCTCAGACGATTGCCAAAGAGAAATAATGCGCATATGCATATCATGTGGCAGTGTGGCAGACCGGAGCTAGAGAAAGCAAATCAGAATTTGGTTTACACTGCTTGGGCACCAGTTTCTCATGTTGCTGATGCGTTTGAGGAATTTCGGTTAAGGTAACTTTGTACAATATTTACCAAATGCATTACGGGAACTTTAAGCAAAAAAACAAAGCAAATACAATCTTAGCCGCCTCGCTGATATTTCATTATCACTGCTTATGTTCTGGTAATGCTATGTTGTATACAAAACATCGGGTTTTTGATAAACTGTAGAAGTAAAATCTGAAATCTGACATACCGCCAACAGCAACATAGTGACCTTATAAGCGAAGCAGAGCCTCATTATGCACTTTTAACCCAATTAATTTTAACATTTCTGAAGCTCGTTTCTACCACTCAATGTGCTACAGCTGTTCACAGCCAATTTTTTGCACTCATCGAGCAGAATTTGTTCCTCATTTTATCGTTTTTCCTATTCATCCGGACAGTTCGAGCGTCTTTTCCCCCAAAAATTCTGTTATCTTCGACTAGTTAAATCAGCCTTATGACGACGATGATGACGATGATGAGGACGACGAAGAACATTTTTTCTTTTTTTTCTTTTTTGATTTTTCCTCCTCCTCTGAAGATGAGCTGGATTCCTTTTTATTTTTCTTTTTTTGCTTCTTCTTTCTCGCGCATTTTTCATCTTCTGAAGATGAAGAACTAGATTTCTTTTTCTTCTGTTTCTTTTTCTTCTTCTTCGATGCTTTCTCGTCTTCAGAATCCGTTACCTCTGAGCTACTGCTCGCCTTCTTTTTCAACGAATGCTTCGACTTCTTTTTTTCATCTTTCGATTTCCTAGATGGCTGTATATCCACGTGCAATTTAATTGTTGCGTCATCGTTTGGATCCAATCCGATCATCTACAAAACAGGTTTCAATCATTTTTTTTCCTTTTTATGCTCGTGATTCCTGAAAAAAAGAAGGGATTGAGGAGAAATTATTGGAGGACATTACGGATCGAAACGCCTTATCCACAGCTACTTATTATTGATTAATTATTTATACGACGTGAGCACGAGAGATTATGAATTATTTATTCATTTATCTATTAATTATACATTCTCTCATCGTCATATTTTATAGGTCTGTTTTGATTAAACTCCATCACTCATCTGCTTAATACTTTTTGATTCTTTCATGTTTACACATTTGACGTGTGTGATAACATTAAAAGCTCCATGTCACCGTGATGGCCAAAAATGATTTAAGATCTGGCATTTTTAACAATTTTCATGATCACACATGTGGATTTTATCGGTAATATGGTTATACAATCATAAAATATATACAGCTTTCGCATAATACCTGTGTTTTCAAGTCTCCGTGCTTGCAGTAGGTTTGCCGATGTAAAAGTAAACCATTAACGTGCGTAAAATAGTCGGACTATCTTCTAGCTCGTATTTTGACTCCCTCATGTGCATTTGAAAACTTTCCCGGTTGCCTTCACCAATGCTGCAGGCTTGATGATTCGCCCGATGAAAATCCTGATGTTTGTTTCGTCTCAGTAAGTGATCGCCAATTCTACATTTTCTTAACAGAACCACTTAGTGAGGATTCAGTTGTCTCGGGATTTTTATGCGTTTTTGCCGTGCAGCGCTAGAGCGCTGCAACAGGCAGCAAAAACGCATATTG